CGGCAGCGGAGGGCACACGCGCGGGCGCTTTCCGGGAGGGGCAGTCGCTAACCATTTCACTGCATGCCTTCAGCTGTGTTTTGCCTTGCTTGCTTCAAAATGACCGCTTAAGCGACTGCCCTACTTACTGTTTGCACCTTTATTTTGTTTGTATTCGCTTTGCATTGCCTCACTTCTTACACCAAAACTGTTACAATTGTTATGAGTGTCTTGCCTGTGTCTTCAAAATATCGGTGTCTCTAATGGGCCTTATGTGACAGGTCTTCATGAGCATCTTCAGGAACACTGAGGGTGTCTCCATTATGGTAAACTGAAAACATCAGCCTTTTTCCATGTTTCAAGTGGGTTCGTACTGATGAGACATTACTGTCTGGTGACTCTGGTAATCAGACACGCTTATAGTGGCAGGGAATCAAAATGAATTGAATCAAACTGTTGAAAAACACAAACAAAACTATAAGCCTTCAACTGGCAGTCTGTTTGGCTTTAGACAAAGCATAAAGGCTAAATATTTAGGGCCAATATTTGCCATACTTGATGGTGAAAGAGTGCAAGTTTGTAATACTGCTCTGACTGAGTGTTCAGTCCTCAAGATAATGTTAAGCAATGAATGGGCTGTGAGGACTTTCTAGGTAGCACATTAACCCCACAGTGGTCAGTAGTTGGCAGTCAAGATTGCAAACTTTGTGATCTCCTACCAGTATTCCAGATGCGAAGGAATACTGGGTACCAGATAACGCTTCCTCTTTATTCTCTCCCTTAAGTTTCTGATCTAGTGGGTCGCGTGTCAGCATTTTGAAGAGCGTGGTCACTTGGCAGGTAAATTGGCTCAAATCATAATTAGAAGGACTAGATGCTATATACCACAAGATGATAAAAGTGGCAGGCACTGGAAAGTATGGACTTTGCGGTAGGGAACATGCTATGAGAAAGAATTGCATGTATCCCCTTTCACAGTGCTCTGAAATTTACCTACGAGGTGAGGGGAGTTCCTGTAAAGAAATTGTATATTGTAACAGCTCCAGAGACTTGTACATATTGGCAATGCTGTCGATCAAAGCTTTTTTTTCTTTTTGAGAACTATTTCCTTTCTAACAAATTTTAACTAGGAAGCGGCTTGTGTACCCTAGTACTTGTAGGTAACAAAGGCCTTATGAAATACGGCTGAAAGAAAATGTTCTGTCATAAATGCCTCTGGGAAAAACTTGCCTGTCTCTTGCACCTTCCCATATTATGAGCATGAGAACTAAGTTAAACTTCTCAAGGGTTAACAAGGTGTCTCTGCAGTTTTAAATGCTCCCTACTTGACAAATCTAGCCGTTCCACCAAAGGGAACATGTAGCTTGTGAAACTAAACTAGGTGTCTCTCTTTGTTTTATTATGACTGTATTTTGAGGAAAAAATGGCATCTGGGCCACAGGCAGCTCTGTCACCAGTGAAACTGTGACTAGTCAAACGCCTTCGCTAACTGTTTTGTTTCTAGTGATACTCTTCCCAGCTGCAGTAGCAAAATTAAGCATATCCCACTCCTCGCCTCCTAGTACAGAAGTGCGTGAGACCAACTTGTCTTCAGATGTGGCTATTTAGTATATGCAAATTGACCTAAGTGGATCAGAAGAATACTGTAAACTCGTGTATATAAAGCAATACAGGCTCTCTAATAGAATTCCTCTGGGTGGAATTACTCTTTGTATCAGGCTAAACACTTCATCTTTGTTAATCATTTATGTGGTGCTTTGCCTTGGCAGACCCTAATAAAAATAGGGAATAAAGAAGGAAGTGCCTATGGGAACACGTTATGGGGAAAGCTCTCATGCCCTTTATTGAAAAGTCAGTGTGCTTGGGTGCCTCTCTGAAGTGCCTGTATACTAATGCATGCAGCGTGGGGAACAAACAGGAGGAGTTAGAAGTCTGTGTGCAATTACAGGGCTGCAATCTCATTGGGATAACGGGACCATGGTGGGATAGCTTACAAGACAGGAACGCTGTGCTGGATGGATACAGGTCCTCTAGGAAGGACTGCTCAGGAAGGCAAGGAGAGGGAGTTCTCTTTTATGTGAGAGAGCAACTGGAATGCACAGAGCTCTGCCTGGGGTCAGCTGAGAGCTTATGGGCCAGCATTAGTGGGCTGACCAACATGGCTGATGCTGTAATGGGTGTCGAGTGTAGATTGCCTAAGCAGGAAAAAGACAATTGTTCTTCAGAGAGTCGGACGAAGCTGTGTGTTCAGAGGGCCGGGTCCTCCTGGACGATGACAGAGATATATATTCTGTCTCTCTCTACGTGTAAAAAGATAGAGACACTATCCAAGCATGTAGGGATGGGGTTAGGAAAGCCAAAGTCCATCTGGAGTGAAACTGGCAGGGGCATAAAGGGCAAGAAAGGCTTCTGTTAAGTACACAAGTAGCAAAAGGGAAGCTAGGGAAAATGTGGGCCTACTGCTGAATGGGGCCTGAGCCCTAGTGAAAACAGACACCAAAAAGGCAGAGGTACTGAGCGCGTTCTTCATCTCAGTCTTTACTGGT